TTTTTTTTTTTTTTTTTTTTTTCTGTAGATACCGCATGTGCAATGAACTTTGGGCGAATTTATAGAACATTGTCATCGTGTGATACGGACGGTGCAAGAGACTTGTAAATTTTTGTAATTGAATATGTGAGTATACTCCCACATTGCGCGCCCAATTTTTCTTGTATTATACTCCCATAGAGAAGGTTAAATATACAAAGGAAGTAGTAACGATAAGATGTATGATGAATTTGATAGCCGCGATTGATATCCTATGTATCACGCGTAAACATTTTTACAGACGATATATTGTAATTGTATTTACGTGTAAATTGATAATACAAAAGTGAAAAACTTAAATAATTGGTACATTATCGGACAAACGTTTTGTTTTAATTGTATTTACGTGCAAATCGATGAAAATTGACAAGAGAGAGAAAATGAAAAGAGAAAAAGCTTAATTTTAAGTATAATACCGGACAACCATTTTGTTTGAAAGATGACAGGTGACAATTACGTTCGAACTCGAAACAGACATCTTTAACTTGTAAAACTTAATGCCTTATGATAATTATATCACGCATTATAATGTATCTACTTAATATCTGTATTATGTTGTTTGCCGACGTGATGATATATTGAGCTTATTACCATATCAGATAGTTATTATTTGTGTAGTGTGTCTTTATCTGTATGTCAATTTTCGTTACAAATGTGTTATTTAATTTACGGGGGCACAAGGAGAGACTTAATTGTTTTTAAGCTAGCTCAATGTGACACATACACGTTTTATTTACATATACTTACGTGCACGACCTGAAAGGAATGCGTGACTTAATTATGGAGCAAGTTATATCGCATTAATTCGTATGTAAATATAAGAGAAACAAAACAAATATATACATATATATATATATATATATATATATATATATATATATATATATATATATATATATACACGTTGTAATATATTAATGATGAAACAAAAAAAAACGCTTCTGTATCGCAGTTGCAACAAGAAGAGTACGTAAAAAACAAAAGAATATGCTTATCGTGCTATACCATTGCGTTATGATCATAGAATTACTAACGAAATACCCCTCCGGTGGAGTTTTCAATCATGAATTTTAAGCATTAATATTATATTTAATGAAATTAATATAACAAATTATGTTCTCTTATAAAATATTGTGGAGAGCCTCACACAGACTATATATATCTAAATAAATTATATTATAAAAAGTTACACTGTAACACTCTTTCGATCGTTGATTTTTCCCCTCACGTTCCGCAGAAAAGAAATACATTTATCATCGAATAATCCAATTGGCATCTATTTCAAACATAAAAAGTGTCACTTAACGCGTCTCGCTATATCTGTCCTCGACGCGGCGCGTTCGCGCATTCGAATGTCCCGCCGAGACGGTGCGCCAGCGAGTAAGCTGGCGCGTCACAGGATGACGCTAGTGGCGGGCACATCCGCAGAATCAAAAAAGACAGTCGGGAAGTGTAACATCACACATCGATTCGGCGGCCCGCGTTGTCAAGCCCGAAAAAACTTTCCTTTTCCGCGTTCCTCCTTGGAGCCCGGCCGTGCGGCGTCACGACTGCCGAGCGAGTCGCGCCGAATTCGAGCCGCGTCTGTCTGTAAACGTGCGCGCGTTACGCGTGTGGTGCTGTGATTGTAGTGACGGCCACGGCGTACCACCGTTGGAGGCCGATGGAAACGTGACTGTCTTCTCGGTTATGCGGTGGTTCCTGTCACGAGCAGCGGCAGTGGCAGTGGCAGCAGTGGCAGTGGCCCTTTTCTCGCACAACCCCCGTCTCGCGGACGTCGCCGTGTCGTCGACGAGGGAGGCAAGCTCGGCGTGCTGATAACGCGACCGCGGCGGAGGTCACTGCATTGCGGTGAGTACGTCGAACTCTTGGTACTTCGCTTTCGCACTTTGACTCTCTTCTCGCATCGCCTCGTATCGCACCGTCCAGCTCGGCACGACACGGCATGGCACGGCACGCCTCGCCGTCGCCGTCGTCGATGGCATCTCGTCGCTTTTTATTCACTCCTTCGCGCGACCACCGAACAGCCGGGGGTTCGTTTACCCTTCGCCGACGCGGATACGCGATGAGCCGGTCGTGGCGAATTTTCCGTTCTCGGAGTGTCGCGTCGCCGATTCGCGGAACGTTCTCGGAATCCTGAGAGTTCGTGGAGTCGCCGAGTACGAAGACGGCAATTGCAGGAAGTCGTCGTCGTTCGGAACGACGAACACCAGGAGTGCTCGTTGAGCCGGTCGCGGGGAGAATTCTTTGTGCGTGCATTTTCACGTTCGCGCAATCTCTCGCGATCGATTGGTATTTGAATTTTAAGCTTTTAGAAGGATAATGATTACGCGAACACACATACACAACGAAGCTCTCTTCGAGGCGGGCTGCTCGTGATATTACAAACGTGCGTGTTATTGCGGAGCATTTTAATCCTCGGGTATCGCAGCTGTAATGTTGTCTGCGAGCAATATTATGGAATATTCATTTATTTAATGAATTTATACTTGAGGGAATATTAGGGAATAAAAAATCAGTGTTTCATTAATACGAAAACGTCTAGATAACTTGAACTTCAGCAGGCCGCGAGGATGTGTGCGTGTATGCATGCGTGTACCTACACAAACACATATGACATACACAAACGTAGATACATTCGTTTAATTAGTTATTTAAAATTTCATCCATATGTGTACGATGCATTAGAATGCATTTTAGTATATCGTTAATAGCGTGCATTAAGATTTATTAAAAAATGTTGCCTTTCTATATAATTCAATACGGCAAATTGCTCCGTCGCGGCGTAATTCCATCGTCCACAAATATTTTTCGCGCAAATTAAAATATTATCGTTAGTGGCGTTAAAATAACATGCGACATGTCGCATTTCACCTTACGATGAATACGATGAATGTACTTAGTTTTTATTCATCAATCATGCATTATTAATTAAGCCGTGGATTTAGATCGGGCGATTATTCGTATTTAATATGTTTCCAAGATCTGTCGTTCGCTCAAACTAATCCGGCTGTAAAAATACGCGCGAAAGTAATCGCGAACTTTCCGTTAACATCTGCAAAATTTATACGTAACATGCGATTCATAACTTGTTAACTACTTCAACGTCCCGACTTCCTTTCCAATGGTTCGAATAATTATAGATTTCCTATTTATTACGACGTAGCGCTGTAAAGCCGTTACGCTTGATACTTATCGCATGACATCTCTCTCGGACGCTTTTCTCGTTTTGTGCGCATATTTTCTCATTATAATATAATATCCTAGAGAGGAATTCTTGAACCTCATTACATTATGTCAAGCGCTGGCGTATTTGCATTACGTCAATACCACCATCCGATGCTCGGTCTCCCGTATGTAACGAGTGTGTCACGTGTGGATCCATCAGCGGATCCAGTATTAGCGGGTTCGACCGTACATCGGCCGCAGTAGTAAAGCTTTTATTTTAGCCGGCCGGCCGGCCGGTCGACGCGCCACCACCGCCACCGCCAGACGGCGCGCTTCCGCTTTTTGTTTAATTGGCGCGCGATCATCTCGCGCTTCCTTTGAGTAAGGGTCACATTAATAGTTGTCACTCTTGAAACACTTGTCTCACGTGAGATACACAGATACTTTTGTTCAATCTTTTTATGCGAATTCGATCTTATCGATCATGCCATTGTTCTCCTTAGTATGAGATCGTAAAAGAGTGAATAATTTTGCAGTATCCGGAAGCGATCATAAATCTTTTCCTCGTGAAAAGTGAACATTTCCATATATTTTCAAGATGAGATTCTTCACTTTTCACGAATTCACGCTAAGGATTTATAATTGATTCCCAGAATTAGATTCAAGTTTTTCAGTTAAATTATTTAAAGGTTATCGTATAAAGAGACTCTAAAACTCTAGGGACATTTCTGTACAAGAAATCATTATTTTATGCTGGGAAATGAATATTGAAAAAAATAATCTTTTAGAAATTAAAGGATCTATTTTTATCAATAGTATTACAAATAAATGTATAGGAAGGTTTTTTTAGTGATTAACTCGAACCAAATTGAATTGACACTTTTAATAAGTAAGACAAACAGATGCCTTTTTATGAACAATAATCAAACGTGTCCAGAGAAATTTTACATGGAGAGAATATTATATTATAGTCCTTTTATAGAGATATTATATATTATAGAGAATATTATATTATATTATAGTCCTTTTCATATAAATTCTTTTCAATTTTACTATGTTTTTAGTAGTCCAGGAATAAACAGTCAGTAAGGTTTCTTATCTTGCTAAGAAACTTGACTAGAAACTAGCAGATTTCGCTAGAAACAAGTATTTTAATAGTACATTTGAATCTTAAAATTAAATAGCGAATATGAAATAAAAGGATAGTGAATTATTGTAGAATGTGAATTTACGGGAAAATGTGCAGTAGTCGGCACTTTGCCTGTTTCCGGCACTCCTGCGTGGATATTATCAAGTATTCAGGTATATAGGGATTTAAAAGCAAATGAATAAATAAATACCATGATAAAGTAATAAATTGCCATGTATCTCAATATTTGATAGAAATCGAGCAAGAGTGTCGAAAATTGGTGAGTATTATAACGAACGTCGGCTACTGAATGTTTTCCCCTGTTCCTCGGTCACCAAATCATATAGTAATTTTTACTATGATATTCTCCCCATGTATTCGCGTTCACTTCAGGACTCTACGTGCGCGCAGCGTATTCCGCCTTTTCCGCTAGAGTTTCCTTCGTGTCGCCAACCGCCGTGAGTGAGCGTGTAAATGAGCGTCAGGAATGCAGACTCTCGTGCGGGAAACGATCGTCGTGGAGTGTTAATTAACGTCGCGCGCGATTAACGCGCATCCTTTGGTACGCGTAATCGACGCGTCGTGTCTCGTCCGAGTAGCTGTTCCTATTTATCGAGACGCCGGCGTCGCGTCGCGTTAACGTTAACGCTCGGTGCGTCATAGCGGCCTGGATTCGTTATTTAATTCGGCCAAGGTTCGTCGTGTGTGTGTCGTGAACGGGATCGCGGTATATCATGTTAATTAATAAACGCGCGCGCGCGCAAGATGGTAATTAGCTGTATTTTTTTGTTCGACAAGACGTCCGCTCGTGCGAATATCCTGAGAAATGGAACAACAAGATGGCATCAACAAATCGGTGAGCGAACAGGTTCGCTCCTTTTATTCGCGCGGCAGTTAATTGCTCGTTTATCGTCTTATTTCTTGCGACAACTCGATGCCACTGTGTCGCGACGATCGTGCCTTGCGCCGCTTTCGACGCGACTTAAGGATGTATTGTCCATGCGTACATGTCTCAGAGACAATGTGAACATTTTGAAAAAAATACATATTCACCTATATTGCATGTAAAAGTGACACAAACAATTTGACGTCCCCGAGTCGAAATTTTAGCCCCACCTTTAGCCTAAACTTTTCAACATCTGTATATCCAAAGAATCGATGTAGAGAGGCAAAAATTTAAAAGCTAGGAATAATGCAAAGTGAAATAAATAGACTGTAAAGAAGTGAGATTAAAATATTGATATTCAATTCTGTCGTATATACAAGGTGAGTCACCTGATTCTAAAATATCTCTGTCGTTTTTTTATTTTAGAGGGAAATATATAAGAAATAAATTGTAAATATAAGTATTGCGGTCAACCAATTTTTTCAACCGCGGAATTTATTTCTCTTACAAGCTTTCCTATAATATAAAAAACAATTATTTCAGAATCTAACATTAAGTGACACCCTGTATATATACCATAAATTTTTATACGGAAATAGTAATATTAACATATCTTTAATTTTTCTAAGTTCTCTAATTTTTGCCAAAATTATACGGACGATACATCTTTAATCTGTTATCCTAGTCGCGAAGTAAATCGCGAAAATTCTAATGGTTGCCGAATGACACCGTTAAAGTTTTCTATATTTCCGAAATACGCGTACACGCATTTATGTACTCTTTAAGTTCGTATCACGCTCTAGCGATTGGCGACTGCGTTCGCGTCTACAATTGTCTCCCGACCAGTCTCCAACAGCCAGCTCTTCTGATTGATCGCGAAAGGTAATCGTGGGCGAAAACGCGAATGTAGACGCAGTCGCCAATCGCTAGTGTGATACGGGCTTTACGTGCTGCGGGAATCAGCCCAGTGCGGAGCAACGCTCGCTCACGACATTCGCGTCTGTAAACATATCTGTTCGGGACATCTCCCGGGCTGCTTTGAGGGAGATTATTTTCTCGCAATTCTCCGAGTTCAGTCGCCGGTAACCTTTAATGGGTTAAACGTGACATTGACAATACTGCTCGTAGACGCACGCGCGTGGTCGTGCAAGCCTCAAACGTCGGGTCTTTGATCGCGATAAAACGTGAAGAACGTTGCTCGTAAATATCGGACAGGGTGCACATCGCGAAATTATGTCGCCGGACGAATCACGTACCGCGGCAGGATGCCGATGGCGTCGTTGTGTACGGCAAAGGGTATAATACACCCCGGAGCATCTATTCATTCCCTTGCCTGCCCCTCCGCCGCTGCATCCTTGGACGCACGTTTCTGAATTTTAATCTAAATTCTTGTTTAGTTCGATGTCCACCCCTGCTTCCACTTTCCTTCTTTCTTTTTCTTCTCTCCCGGTATTGCGTCGAGCTTTCTCTCGTCGGGGAATTGGCCTTCCTCCGCCATTTCCTCTTTCGATTGCTATTGAGCGTCCAAGTCGCACGAGAACCGACGCGTGTTATAATTACGAGAATTCTCGGCGAGCTGAAAGAATAAAAGATTGCGCGTCGTTTGTTTCCGATCAAAGCCTCGAGTATATTCCCGCTCGTATGTGGAAACCGCGTTGCTGTTCGCGA